ATAGGGGGTTTACCTGTTAGGGGCTAGGTTGGCCTTGAAAATGGGTCGTTCTGGCCGTCAAGGCCAACTAACTCGTAATTATTGTCTTAACGGATATCCATAAAAAATTTAGCATAAATGACGTTGGGATTCCAGATCATCAACAATCCATTGATTATAGCACACGAAAATCGACAACATGGGGGATTTTCCTGCTCTGGGGCTCGTTTGATGGGTCATTTGGATGTTATGACCAACTAGCTTAATAACTAAGGTCTTAACGGATGTTCACAAAATTTTTGGCAATAATGACGTCTGAATTTTAGATCTCCAAAAATCCATGGACTATAACATACACGATAATTGGCAAGATGGGGGGCTTGCCTTCTCGGGGGCTCGTTTGACCTTGAAAATGAGTTATTTTGGCCATTAGGGCCAACTAGCTCCATTGCTAAGGTCTTAACAGACGTTCAAGAATAATTTTGAACAAAATAACGACAAATCTTGGTCACAGACGTTCAAGAATAATTTCGAACAAAATAACGGCAAATCTTGGACCACAAAAAATCCATGGAATATAGCACAAGAAAATAGGCAAAATATGGGGTTTACTTTTTTCCGGGCTCGTTTGACCTTGAAAATGGTCATTTTGGCTGTCAGGACCAACTGACTCCATAGTTATAGTGTTAACGAACGTCCACAAAAAAATTTGACAAAATAGACGTCGGAATTCCAGATCACTAAAAAGATGGTGTACTATAACGCACACAAAAATTGGCAAAATGAGGAGTTTGCCTACTTTGAAGGTCGTTTGACCTTAAATATTGGTCTTTTTTTGTCGTCAAGGTCAACTGACTTTAAAGCAAACGTTTTAACAAATGTCCACGAAAATTTTAGGCAAATATTACGTCGAAATTCTGAATTACCAAAAAAATAGTGAATTATAGCACACAATCGACAAAATGAAAGGGCTTGCCTGATGTGGGGCTCATTGGACCTTGAAAAAAATGGGCAGTTTTTGCCGTCAAGGCCAACTGCCTTCATATCTAAGGTTTTAATGGACGTCCACAAAAATTTTGGAAAAAATTGACGTAAAAATTCTAGATCACAAAAAAAAATGGTGAACTAAAGAAAAAGAAAATCGACAAAATAGAGGGTTTGCCTTATCCTGGCTCGTTTAACCTTGAAAATGTATCGTATTGGCCGTTAGGGTCAATTCTCTCCATAACTAAGGTTTTAACGGACGTTCACGGAAAATTTTTGGCAAAAATGTAAAATTTGGATTACAAAAAAAAGATGGTGAACTATAACACACAAAAATTGGTAAAATAGGGGGTTTGCCTTCTCCGGAGCTCGTTTGGCTTTGAAAATGGGTCGTTTTGGTTCTCATGGCCAACAGGCTCCATAGCTAAGGTATTTACAGACATCCATGAAAATTTTTGGCAAAATTGATCTTAGAAATTCGAATCATCAAAGAAGATAGTACACGAAAATTGAAAAATGGGGGGTTTACTTGCTCTGGGGCTTGTTTGACCTTGAAAATGGACCGTCTTGATCGTGAAAACTAACCGACTCCATAGATAAGGTCTTAACAAACGCCCGTGTAAATTTTTGGCAAAAATAATCTCGAAATTCTGGATCATCAAAAAATATGATGGACTATATCACACGAAAATCAACAAAATGGAAGGTTTACCTACTCTAGGCTCGTTTAACCATGAAAATGGATCGTTTTGACCGTGGTGACCAATCAGCTACATAGATAAGTCTTAGCGGGCATTTGTGTAAATTTCTGGCAAAAATGAACTCACGATTTTGGATCATCAAAAAAGATGGTTGACCATAACACATGAAAATTAGAAAAATGGGGAGGTTTACCTGCTCTAGGCTTGTTTGACCTTGAAAATAATTTGTTTTGACTGTGGTGACCAATAATCTCCATAGATAGGTCTTCATGGATGTTCTGTAAATTTTTAGCAAAAATAATCTCAAAATTCTCGATCACCAAAAAAGATGATGGACTATAGCACACGAAAATTGACAAAACGGGGGTTTACGTGCTCTAGCTCGTGTGACCTTGAAAATGGATCGTTTTGGTCGTGATGACCAAACAAATCTATAGATAAGGTCTTAACGGACGTCCGTGTGAATTTTTGACAAAATTGATCTCAGAATGCTTGATCACCAAAAAAGATGGTGGACTATAGCACACGAATATTGACAAAATGAGGGGTTTACCTGCTGTGGATTCGTTTGACCTTAAAAATGGCCCGCTTTGGCCGTGGTGACTGACTGACTCTATAGATAAGGTTCTAACGCACGTCTATGTAATTTTTTTTACAAAAATGATCTCGAAATTTTGGATCACCAAAAAAGATGGTGGACATATAGCACACGAAAATCAGCAAAATTGGGGGTTTACTTGCTCTAGGGCTTGTTTAACCTTGAAAATGAACTGTTTTGACTGTGGTGACCAACCGGATCCATAGATAAGGTCTTAACGAATTCGTGTAAATTTTTGGCAAAAATAATGTCGAAATTCTCGATCACCAAAAAAAATGATGGACTATAGTATACGAAAATTGGCAAAATAGGGGTTTACGTGCTCTGAGCTCGTTTGACCTTGGAAATGGATCGTTTTGATCGTGGTGACCAAACGGATCCATATATAAGGTCTTACGGACATCCGTGTAAATTTTTGACAAAGACGATCTCAAAATTATGGATCACCAAAAAAGATGGATGACTATAGTACATAAAAATCGACAAAATGGGTAGTTTACCTGCTTTGGGGCTCTTTTGACCCTGAAAATGGGTCATTTTGACCGTGGTGACCAACTGGCTCCATATATAAGGTCTTAACGGATGTTCGTGTAAATTCTTGACAAAAATGATCTCGGAATTCTGGATCACCAAAAAAAATGGTGGATTATAGAACACAAAAATTGACAAAATGGGGGATTTACATTCTTTGGGCTCGTTTGACCTTTAAAATGGATTGTTCTGGCCGTGGTGACAAACCGGCTCCGCAAATAAGATTTTAACGGATGTCCGTGTATATTTTGGTAAAATGATCTCGAAATCCAGATCACCAAGGAAGATGGTGGATTATAGCACACGAAAATCACAAAATAGGGGGTTTACATGATCTGGAGCTAGTTTGACCTTGAAAATGGGATGTTTTGGCTGTGTTGACCAATAAGCTCCATAGATAAGGTCTTAACGGACGTCCGTGTAAATTTTTGACAAAAATGATTTCAAAATTTCGGATCACCAAAAAAGATGGTGGACTATATAGCACATGAAAATCGACATAATGGGGGGTTTACTTGCTCTGGGGCTCTTTTAACCTTGAAAATGGGCTGTTTTTGCCATCGTAACCTACCGGCTCCGTAGATAAGGTCTTACCAGATATCTGTGTAAATTTTTTCCTAAAATGATATGGGAATTCGGATTAATAAAAATCTTTAAGTGAATTCATTAATTTGTATTTGCGTTAGACTTATGTATATCGAAAGTCAAAATAAATCTAGCTATCAATTTATGTACATTATATCACTAGAAAGTTATTTTAGATCACCGGATTATTTTTATGAGTTATACTAGGTAATATATCATATTTTCTGAATTATGAATCACACATTTTTAAAAGGCTTATTTCGAAATATCCTTGTGAGTGACCTAAAATTATACAAAATTCTTTATACTGAATTTGAGATTGAGAAGATAATAAAATGTAACAAAAATTGCTAAATATTGTCATTTAGGGTGTGCTTGGTATGAAGGAACATGTTTTCCTAGAAAATGTTTTCTTGAAAAAACAAATCGATTTTTGACTTATTTTCTCATGTTTGGTTGGTGACTATAAAATATTTTTCGAAAAAGATTTTATAGTGTTTGATTTATGAATGAAAATTATTTTTGAGAAATATCTTTTGTTTTAAGTAGAGAATAGAAAATAATTTTTGAATTTCTTTTTGAAAATATTTTTTTAAAAATAAACTTAAATTTTTTTGAGGGGGAGGGTGAGGGTGGGGTGGTAGGGAAGGCGTTGGGTGGGTGCGGGTGAGATGGGGTAAAAATATAAAAACTTGAAATTAAAAATATTTTTTAAAAGCAAGCTTAATTTAAATTTTTTGGGGTGGGGGCTGATTGGGAGGGGGGTCGCTGGTAAGGGTGGGGTGAGGTCAAAAAATTAAAATTGGAAATATTTTCTTAAAACAAACTTTAAACTTTTTTACTTATTTTTTGTGGAGGGGTGGTGGTGGTGGTGATAGTGGGGTTGGCCGGGAGGAGGGGGGGGGGGGGATAAAAAGAAAAAATTTGAATTTGAAAGTATTTCTTAAAAACAAACTTAAAAAATTATATTTTTCGAGGGTGGGGTGGGGTAGGGTGAAAATAAAATTTTAAAATTGAAAATAATTAAGGATGGGGTAAAGAAATAAAAAAAAAATTGAAGTTGAAAAAAATATATTTTTGGAAAAGCTTTAAATTTATCTTTTCAACAAAAAGAATTGATTTTTTTGAACAATTTTTTTTATTGAAGTTTGAAAAATATTTTTCTTACTTTTTGAAGGAAAATCATTTTGCTTGAACTTGAGGAAAGTGAATTGATTTAGAAAACATTTTATCCAATCAAACCTTAGAAAATTTGAAAATGTTTACACACCCTTAAGGACACTAAATTTGTAAGAGTCAAAATTTAGAAGTCTCATACCCCACACCCCAAAAAAATAGAAGAAAAAATAATGTTCCAATACCAAACTTCATAATAAAGTTTTTTTCTGAAATACACGCACAATATTAATGATGCTAGTAGCAAGATTTAACTTAAATACACATATAATATTAGATAAAGTTCTCACTATAAGATTAATTAAGAAAATATCTCAATACTAACCTTCACAATAAAGTGAGATTTGTAATCTTAAAAATATAGGAAGTACTTAATATAACAATAACAACAACAATACAAGAAAATCTAATAATATAAAAGTTCTTTATACTATCGACGAACATAATTAAACTTCATTTCCCCTTTTTGATTTAGTCCAACCTATTTGCTTTCCAAAAAGCAAAACAGGTGTCGGAGCAGCATCAACATCAACAGCAACATCATTATGATTGAGTGCTAAATCCATTGGCAAACCTTCATCGTTCGGAGCAGCATCAACATCAACAGCAACATCATTATGATTGAGTGCTAAATCCATTGACAAACCTTCATCGTTCTTCACCACGTCAATCACAAAGGTATTGGAATTCTCATGTGTTCCATTCTTGATTTCACACAAGTTAAAAATAATTGTATCTCCGGCTTTCAAGTTTTTAGCTTGCACAAACTTGTGCCAACCCCTTGTAAAGGTGAATTTTTTACTACTTTGGCAGTAAAAAAGTTTAAACCTCCATGATTGTGTTGAGCTATCATAAAAATCAACCTCCTCGTTATGCTGGATATGAGAAAAGTACTTTAGAGCATATCTCCTAGGGATCACAAATGTTTTATTTCCAACATCGCTGGGAGTAAGTACTTTGTGAAAAAGTTGTTGCAACGAAGATTCACTGTTACCCTGTAAACAATATTGAAATTTTGACTTTTAACTTGAGGATTTTTCAAAAGAAAAAAATATTAACTTTTAGAGTATAGGGTTATGATCCCTAAGTATTGTTGGAATTTCATACTCCATTCATTAAATATTTTCTAATTTGTTTTTTTCTATTTTTACTTGTTATTTTTGACAAATCAAAAGAGGAATACTTTTTTTTCCTATTATATCCTCAATTTATTAATATTGACTTAATATCTTTGAAAATGTAGCGACTAAATATGTTTGAAATCTTATCAGTTAATGGGGTAAAATGATAAACTTAATATTTCAATCATTTTCTTAATAAGTGGGCTAAGACAAAAATTAACAAGTAAATCTGAGTAAATGAAGTATTTTAAGGAGGCTTACATGTTGTCTATATACCATTATAGGTAATAAATAGCATACAAAATCCCCACACTTATGATGTATATAAGTTAAATTCTTATGAAATTAAATTTTTTGGGGATCGGTAACCAAAAAATCTGTGACTTGCAGTAATAACAACAAGAACAACAACAACATGGATAGGAAACCTATATGAGGAGTGTGTACACATACCATAGTGGGCTGACTGTTCTGTTCGTCCAGAACACCTTTCATGAGTCTTGAATCAGAAACATTATTACTTTGACCTTCCATGTTGAATTCTGAGAAAATTCAAAAAAATAATAATTAGGAACCTTGAGAAAATGTAAGAGATTGATAAGTACCAGTTAAAATATTTAAAGTATGTATAAAGTACACAAACCTCAAAATTGTGGATGTTAATTACATCCTATTTCAAAAGTTTTTTCAAAATTATAATAACTTCAGATTTTGCGGAGTTATCTATGGGGATGTTACAAGAGAGAAGGAATAAAAAAAGAGATTTTTGTAATTTACTCAAATTGTAAGAATTTTTAGAGATTGTGTTGTCTTGAGTTGTGCAATTACATAATTTTTCTCAAGTTAATTATTCAGATACAAATACCAAAAGTAAAATAATAATATTAAAAAAAATAAAAACATAGTTGATCTCACCCACTCAATATTTATTATCTCATAAAATCATTTTTCTACTGATTTCAAATTTTTTTCAATAAAGAAAATGATTTTATGAATAGTAGTACTAAGAACTATTAGATGACTGAGACCATCTGAGAGATCAATTCAACTTTTTTTTCTAAATGCTATTTTCTTTTTCTTTTCAGATTTATAAATTTTATGTCTAAAAACGTTCACAAAAACAAAAAAAAGTTCATCAGATCTTCTGAGGCCCTTATTTTTACAAGTATATATATATAAAAAAAAGAGTTTTCATATAAATTTTTTGACAAGAATAATTTTTTAACATGTAAAATAAACATAAACAAAAATTTATGTAAAAAATTATTAGAAGAATACCTGATTATCTCAAGTATTAACAGTAGAGGCTAAGAAATTTTCCACAAATCACAAAATTATTTAACATCTATATGTCTTTTTATATAATTGTACCATGTAGATTGTAGTAATTATAGATATTAATTATTATATCAATAGATTATTCAATTTACTGAAAATTCCAAATATGTACATAAATAGTTTTGACTTGACACCTGAGCAATAATTATAAAATAACAATTCTATTATAACGCCATTTGAACACAATAAATTCAATATTTTGTAAATACAAAATGACAATAATTAATAATTAAGACAAATTAGAAATCAAATAAGGAATTATCACTTTATTTATTAAACTGGTCAAGTAAAAATAAATATTTAATAACAAAATTTCTAATTGATTTTAATATACTGAGATCTCGTTTGACCATAAATTTTGAAACTTAAAGTTGTTTTTGGACATGCATTTAAAATGGGAAAACAAATTGTGAGTGAAAGTAAATTTTTCCCAAAAACTATTTTAGACCATTTTTTGGAACTTGAATTTTTTTAAGACAATTTTAAAATCTTATCCAAACTATATGGTCCAATAAATATTTAATCATATATTTTCATATTTTGATTAAAAATCTATAGTCAAATATATATTAAAAGATATGAATTTAAAATTAGATCTGGTCAAATACTAGCTAAATATTAGAAAAATAAATTATATAAGGAAAGAATCTTAATCAACTTCAAAATTGTAGATATAATGGGCTTTCTCTATAATTATAAGTCATAGTTAATTTGAAACTTTTAGTTATTATAAAAAATATTTTAATTACAATCTTGTTTATTTTTAAAAAAAATAAAAACATGAGAAAATCGATCAACATAGTTTGTGTTGGAAACCACATTCGTTTTAATCTTAGAAGGGAATACATGTCTCTAAATTGTGGAAATATTTCAAGGTTATGACCTTATTAGGTTTTAATCAATTATTAATCAAATGTTTACAATTAGGGAGGCTTACAATTTAGATAAAAATTGATTCAATTTGAAAACTTGAATCAATTTGGCTTTTATTTGGTTTTTACATTTTCAAAAGTTGATAATATTTTTTTTTATTTTGTTAACATTATTTGAAGAAATAATCTAATCGAACTAACAAGTTATATACACATTTTTTTGTAATTATATATACATAATAGGAAGGGAAAAGGGTCTGAAAAATACTTTAACTTTGGCCGAAATTATTTTTACGATATCAAACTTTATGGATGACCTTTTATCCACTCAACTATTTAATAGTGTATTTTTAAGTCCCCCCCCCCCCCTCCCCGAACTATTTAATAGTGTATTTTAAAGGTATCTATGTGCCTGCGTGAACACATTACTATTTATAATTATGCAATATTTTTTATGTCTACGTGGGCGCATATATACCTTTAAATAGTGCAGGGGGTAAAAGGTCATTTCCAAAGTTTGGTGTCGTACTAGCGATTTCGGTCAAACTTCAGGTATATTCAGACCCTTTCACTACATAATATATTATTTTATCAGTAACTTTTATGCGAAAAATGCAGCACTCTAATGAAAAAGACTGATGTATGATGTGTTGCTTCTTCAATTTGTGATGCTAGTTCATATTCACGTCGAAACACTCGATATCCATATTATATCATGATTAAATTCATATTCACGTCGAAACACTCCCAAACATAGATGACTTTGTACAAATTTAGTGTTTACCTTTTTTTTTTATTGGTATACATGATTACACAGTATCATACACATATTATATACATTTTATACCTGCGTCAATTATTTTTAGTTTAATTATTGAGTGAAGAGTTATTTAGGTTTATCTGTTTAGGATTCTCAAAGCGAAGCGGTTAATTATTAATGAAATTTTTTGCCGACTCTCTGTAAAATACTTGTTTGTCCTAGTGTTTTCAAACACATCATAAGTTAAGTCGATGATGACAAATAACCAATTATCTGCAATAGTAATATAAATTACATCCCTCTCTTTTTCTTTTGCCCTATATCGCCACACCAAAGAATAGGGTGACGTAAAAAAAGAAGGGGTGGGTGGGGTTCATATCAACTTATTTCGATCTAGAATAATAAAAAAAAAATCTAATATTAAAATTTGAATTAATATAAAATAATGTATTTCTTCTAATAACAAAAGACAAACAATTGAGTCCTTGAATTTATTAATTAAAAATATAACATTCCACTCTTTTCCAAATTCATCCATAACTTCTTTTGTTGAAAAATTTAAATTTTCATATAATTTTCCAATATTCATTTTCCTCTCTATAACTAGTTTAATTATCATATTCACGCAATTCATGTGATTATTTTACTTTTTCCGTTTCTATTCACATATCAGTTTTACTATAAATAAATATTCATTAATACTTCCTCCGTTCATTTTTAATTTTCATAATTTTTCTTTTTAGAGGTAAATTATAAGAACTTTGACTATCATTTTACGGTGTATTTTTCATCACATTGATATGCAAAAAATTACAAGTTATAGTACTTTTCGTATAGTTTTTGAATATCTAATTTTTTTGATATATCAAATTAATGTAATATAATTTAACTTTGAAAATTAGTCAAATTGACTTTCGAAAAACGCTACATGAAAATTAAAAGTGGTCAGAGGAAGTACTTGTCGTTTTACAAAATCAGTACATAAATGACAATATTCTTTCTATTTTACCCTTGAAACTAATTAGCTTTGAAAATATGCATTTGACCAATATAGGAAAAATATAACCAAGTCATGTTCATTGGTCAAATTAATCAATCAAAATAAATTAATTCATGTTCATTTATTAAAACCTTGAGAAAACACTAAATAAGAGTACAATGGTAACGTTGTTAGTTTCTTAAGGAACTTGAAATCTAAAATGTTGACAGCTAAATAGAAACGGGGAGTACCTTTTAAACCTAAGTATATACATCCTTTCATATCTTTGTTATAAAAATATAGATATTTACCCCTTTTTCTCACTTTTTCCATATTGATTAACAGTTTGATTTAATTTTGTGTGTGTGTTTTTATGTTATTTTGGACAGGCAAAATTAATTTTTATGTAGGTGAAGTTGTTTCTGATTTGTGCTAAGGTATGCTTTCTTCTTTTGTTATCCTTTTTCATGTTTTTTTTTTTGCATTTCTATAAACAAATTAAATTAGATCTAAAAGCTTTAATCTTTGAAATGTGTATTGCTTTCTACATTTATGCCACCACCAAACAAACAAAAAAAAGAAAAGAAAAAAGAAAGAATTGATTAGAGTTCTAATTTGTCATTACAAAAGAAAATCTATGATTTTTTAAATAGATTTAAGTTATATACACTATCGAATTATAGATTTGTTTGCACTATATAAATTATAATTTAATTTTATGTGGTTAGAAAGATAAGTATTATCGCATGGTGGTTCGATCAATTTTGTTGTATGAGATGGAGTGTTTAACTAATTCTATATTTAGAAGATGTAAGTTGCGGAATCGAGGATATTGATATGGATATGTAGGAATACTAGAAGTGATAAGATTAGGAATGAGGATATTCGTGGGAGAGGCATCTGTGATGGACAAGGTGAGGAAAGTGAAATGGAGATAGTTTGGACATGTGAAGAGGAGATGCGGAAATGTCATAATGAAAAGGAGAGGGAGAGGGAAAGGTAAGCCGAGTAAGTATTGGGAAGTGTAAGTAGATAGAACAATATGACGCAATTTCAACTTATTGAAGACATGACCTTATATAGGGCGTGGAGATCGTTGATTAGGGTAGATGGTTAATAGGTAATGGAGCCTTGTGATCTTGTTTTTAGACGGGTTTACGTTTGGAGATGTTTGTCGTAGTATTAATCTCATTTTTGTAGTTTCTAGCTTTTGATATCTATCATTATTTACTATTTATTGTTACTTTGTTGTTATTATTTCTTTATTAGTTGTTATGTTTTCTTCATTATCATTTTTCCTTTTCAGACGTACTTCAAAAACAACTTCTATCTCCCCGAGGTAAGGATACTATCATTAGTACTTTCTACCCTCGCCAAACTCCTACTTTATAAGATCGTATTGAATATGTTATTATTATATTTGGTTAGAACTTGTGTTATTGAATAGTTGAGTATCCATGAGGGTGTAATAGAATAATAATTAAGAATTCGTTCACCTTTAAATTAGAGGCTTCAGGTTAGAATTCTTGAAAAATAATTTTTTTTAAAATAACGCACAAATATCTATGAATTAGCCAGGTATATA